CCCCCCCCCCCAGTAGAACATAATGAAACAATTGCATAAACAATCTAGCGTGAATCACAGACGAGACGAAGAGATGCCCACAACCCTAAGCCCCCCTTACTCACCTAAAACCCTTAAACACCCCAGATCTCTCCCCAGATCCCTCAACTACCTCCTCAAAGAACAAAGACTCCTCTTTATCTTGGTAGGTATTCTCATTGGATCCACATTTTTCATTCTCCAACCCTCTCTGTCTCGTCTTAACTCTTCTGACACCCATTCTTCAATACCCAGATTGTTTCCAGTCACCAATCGTGAATCTTTATCAAACCCATTTCGTGGTGTAAGCAGTTACGGGCATGGGAAGGTGTCTGGAAGGGTTCCTGTGGGGATTGGGCGAAGAAGGTTGAGAATTGTGGTGACTGGTGGGGCTGGATTTGTAGGGAGTCATTTGGTTGATAAACTAATTGCCAGAGGAGATGATGTGATTGTCATTGATAATTTCTTTACTGGGAGGAAAGAAAACGTGGCGCATCATTTTAGGAATCCGAGGTTCGAGCTTATTAGGCACGATGTTGTTGAACCCATTTTGTTGGAGGTAGATCAGATCTACCATTTGGCTTGCCCAGCTTCGCCGGTCCATTATAAGTTCAATCCGGTCAAAACCATCATATCCTTATTGATCATCTGAATGATTTTGCTAATTTTTTTTGTGTGTGTGTGTTTGTTTCCGAGAATATCATACATAATTATGGACGTGAATCGGAATCTGTGTGTGTTTGTATATTTGTATGTGTGCCCACACTGTCATATCTTCACTGATCATTAAAATACTTGTGAATTAGGATGTGTTATTTTGTTTGAAGATCTGGTGTATGTTTTTGTTTGTCTTATGGAATTTTGATATTCCTTGAGATCCTTGACTGTGATTACAAGACTAATGTGATGGGCACACTTAATATGTTGGGACTTGCAAAGCGAATTGGGGCGAGGTTTCTGCTCACAAGTACAAGTGAGGTTTATGGTGATCCACTTGAGCATCCGCAGAAGGAGACATATTGGGGAAATGTGAATCCAATTGGTGAGCTACGACTTACTTTCGTCTGTTGTTTATCAGTCATCTTTTATCTGGTTTGATGACATTCCTAATTTTTACGTATTTGAAAACATTCAGGTGAGAGAAGCTGCTATGATGAAGGGAAAAGAACAGCTGAAACCTTGGCAATGGATTATCATCGTGGTGCAGATGTTGAGGTAACAGATCGTGATATTGACTTATACATGAACTGCCATGAAATGCTGAACTTGTTATGAGATAGTTTACTACAAATTCCATTCTGGCACCAAATAACATCAAGAGTACTACTTTTCATTCCTCATGAGATGTTTTGTTATCTTCTAGAGTTAATTTGAGAATGCACATGAATTCATTTGAATTCCTTGCTGATCTTGTGAATGATTTGATATCTTAGAAATAAAGCCATGGCCAATATGTCCAGGACTAATCCCTTGCTTTGTACGCTTTCAAGTTGATTTTCCTTTGTTTGGCTTTCCAAATATATCTTTTGGATCTGATTACATTTAGATTTTGTGCCATTAATTTTTGTAGCGTAGCTCGCTTTGCATGCGATTAAGTTCATCTGTGTAAAATGTCCTCATTAATGCATGTAGTTTCCAAGAAAATTCTGCAACCATCTGTATCATGGTTCAAACTATCGGGCAAGTCCGAGTCAACTCTACCGAGTCGTATTTGTCTGAGCAGGTGCCGATCCGATAACGATACACGTTACGCCAATATAATGAGATTCGACTGAATCGGTCCTGACTCGGTTACAACTCGGTGGTATCGGCCTAAGTCGAAGCTAAATCGGTTGGATTTGGCCGAGTCGAACCAAGTTAGACCGTTATGGTGCAACCAGATCTAGAAAATCTGAGCAACAAAAACCCTAAAAAAAAGAGAAAGGAAGAAGAAAATGGACGAGACTTAACTTGCATATTTATGGGTTAGGTTGAATTTGTAACAAAATAAGCAAATGAAAAGGGGATTGATAAGAAATAAAACAAAAAATCAAATGTCCATCAGTTAAAAATTCACAAATATTCATCAGCTTTTTAAAATTGAAACCCTAAATTAGTGACAAAAAAAAAACCCCAGCCCCAAATCACACATTTTTGGAATTATAAGAACAAAAGAAGATGAACAGAAAGTAGATGTAATAAAACTTGCAAATTTTCTTCTTCTTCTTCTTCTTCTAATTCTTGTCGCGCTTTAGGAGTAGAGTTGGAATGCCCAACATCATCTCTTCTTCTCTAGTAGAACGACGGTTCTCTCTGCCTTCACGAATCACGATCGGCTTGCACTCTACAACAGTTGCCCTCTCTCTCTTTCTTTGCGTTCGACGAAATGAAAGTGCTAGACTCTTGGGTACCCAATAATCAATACAAATAGCATTAGTGTTATATATGTATATATATATGTCGATGGGCATTGGGAGTATACCATGTATATTAAAACCCTATTTAATTATTATAAAATTAGATTGCATGATTATTATATATGTAAATATATAAACTAAAATTTCTTTAAATTCTTGTACATAATTTTTTTTTATAAATACACATAAATCAAAATAATTTTTTGTGTGGTATTTTTCATATGTTGTTTAATTATAAAATGTGTCGATGATTATAGATCGGTATTTTTTTAAATGCTTAAATTGAATATCATAAAGATAAATATTTTTGGTAACACCCTTATAATTCATTTTTACTATGTTTAATGTCTATGGATGATGTTGTTTACATTTTAAAATATTTTTCATAATTTTTTTAGAATTTTTTGAGCTTTCTATCTAGTATTTTGAACGTATCAACCGATACCGTACCGAGACGCCGTGACCGAGTATTAGTGCCCTCCGAGTCGATGATTGATACTGGGACTTTGAACCATGATATTGCGACTTTGAACCATGATCAGTATGAGACATAGGATCGTTAGGGTGCAGAGGGATGATAGATTTTTGTTTAGTATAGCATAAGCATACCCATTATGGCATGTAGTGGCCAAGGAAGTTTCTAACCTTTTGATTGAGTCACAAGCTCATTGCATAAGAGACACATGCTGGAAAACACCCGTTTACTTCCGAGTAAGACAGCAAATGGATAACATCAAGTGATAATGCATAAAGGCAAATTTGTAGATTAAAGAAAAGTTTACTTGGAAGGCATGTATTGACCATGTAACCCAGACCTTAGGTTGGATTTATAAATGTATTTTAAAGAAGGGTAAGACATTGTAAACTATGTAGAATCACACAAACTTTTTGTTTGTGAAGTTTTGATGTTTTCGACGCAGCGGCTCAATGATTGAGTTTGTTATTTATTTAGAGTGAGGCATGGTGCACTAAAAGTACCAAGATTTCTACACTAAAGAAACTTGAAAACTTTGATTCAAGAAGAGGAAAGAAAAGAGAGAGAGAAAAATTGTATTATTGTAACCTTAGTTTGCTAATTACATAACAAAGCTAGATGTTAGAGACTCTTATATAGTAGGACAAAAAGGAATACAGTAAATCACTTAACACCCCCCCCTCCCCCAAAAAAAAAAAAAAAAAAAAAACAATAAAAAAAAAAAAATAGGAAAAAAAAAAAAACAAAATGGAATCAAGATCACCACTGCCCATTGGGGCCACTTCATGAGCCTCACCAATTGTATTTTCCCCTCCTTTTCCTAGTTCGGTGAGTTCTTTCTGCCTCTATTCACACAGCCTACAAATCTCTCTCATCCTTTTCCAAGCCCACTGAGTTCTCATTGCCTCTTTCACACAGTTTTTAAGTCTCTTTCTCTCTCTTTCACTCACTCAATACAAATCACCAAACGAGTCCTTAATTCCAAATCATGGTGACCCAACGGATCAAATTGGTTAATCACTCCAAATCATATATGCTTGCCGACTAAATTTCCCACTCTAAATCTTCATATCTAACTACCATCTCAATTTTCTAATCATTTCTAGCTAATAAAATATGATTGTGTACGATGAATAGAGATATCTCGAATCACGTTCCCTCTCTCCATCTCTACTTCTTCCTACCTACCTCCCTCCTACTTAGTTTTTTGTAACAGTAATATTGGATTTGGGTATTTTCCAAATCATTCATGACAAGTACGCTTCATCTCTCTCTGTTATTTAACACCCCTTTCGCCTAGTTAAATGATTTGAACCAAATCGGCAGTGTGAGAGATTTTCATTATTGGAATAACGTAGGCCTTTGCATTGTGAAAAATTAATTGGAGTCAATCAATGCCTCTATTTTAATTTGGCCATTTCTTTTCTCTCTCTTTTGATGATACCACTTAAGACTTAAAACTGAATGTTTTAAGCACTTAAATAATTAAATCCGTTTGATACCACCATTGTCGCCGCCGTCACCACCATCACTATCACCACCACCATCTTCATCTCCATTGTGTCGCCGCCACAACCACTAACATTATGTCACCGCCACCACTACCATTACGCCACCACTAACACCACCACCACTGCCATCATCACTATCACTGCCACCACCACCACTGCCATCATCACTATCACTGCCACCACCACCACCCCCACCCCCACCATCCCTGTCGTCACCATTATCATTGTGGCACCGTCACCGTCACCATCNAGTAAGAGTTTGCCAATAAGAGAAATAAAGTGTGCTATGGTATGAGATTTCGTAAAGAAATCCGCTAGCTGCATAGTGGATGGAAAAAAGGGAAGGGTGATGGTGTCCAGTTGAAAATGATGGCACACAAAGTGACAACCAATCTTAATATGCTTTGTACATTCATGGAAGACCGAGTTGTGAGGAATCTGAATAGCACTGGTGTTGTGACAATACAAAATGGTACGAGTACATAGTAAAATGCCAAAATCAACAAGCTGCTATCGTAATCAAATATCTTAGCTGTGGGAAATGTTAGATATTTGCTTTTTGCTTTTCCAAGAAATAAGAAAATCACCAAGGAAAAGACAAACACTAGTGGTGGAGTTGTGATCCGTAGATTCACCAACCCAGTGAACGTCTGAATAAGTCCTGAGTTTCTTATAGGAGAATGAACAAAATAGTAGACTTTGCTATAGAGTACTGCGAAGGTACCGAAGAATGTGGAGAACAGTTGTCCAGTGAACTGTAGTAGGTGAGACAACAAACTGACTAACTATATAGACAACATAAGAGATATGAGGGAGTAATTGTAAGATATACCAGCCTCCCAACAATAGTGTGATATAGTGTAGGATCAAGTAACGGGGTTCCATTAGAGGTAGAATAAAAAACAGTTAACTTTAAGGTTTTTCAGCTGTTCGATTACCTGATAAGCGATTTCGTTGAAGAATATTTGATGCATATTTGGATTAAGAGAGCATATAATTTTGGGGGAGGAAGTAACCTCAATTCATAAGAAATATCGAAGCTTACCCAAATCTTTAATCTCAATAGAGTCATTACCTGTAATGATTATATCATCAATATAGAGTAAAAGAACAATACAACCACATAAAGTGGATCATAGAAAGAGAGCAAAATCATGATCATCGACATAGAAACTCAAGTCACAAATAATTGAAGAGAATTTGGCAAACCATACCGTAGTAGTCTGTTTAAGGCCATATGAAGCCTTTTGAAGTCTACATACTTGACCAAAATTATGAGACTATCCAAGAAAATGAGTCATACAAACCTCTTCGGATAAATCTTCGTGGAGAAAAACATTTTTCACATCTATCAGAGACAAATTCCATTGACAAATAGTAGCCCCACTATAATCATAGTGCGAATAATAGTCATCTATGGTAACAGGGGAATTTCATCATAGTTTAGCTCATACTCTTGAGTAAATCCTTTGACTACTAACTGAGTTTTGTACCGTTCAATAGAGCCATCAAATTTGGTTTTAATCTTATAAACCCATTTACAACCAATGATGTGTTTGTCAGGGGATAAAGACACTAACTTCCAAGCTCAGAACTTATGTAAGACAGTTGGCTCTTCATCCATAGCATGCTGCCAAAGAGGATCAAGTATAGCCTCCTTATTGAGGATGAGCTCAGAGAGTGAATAAAAGTTAGAAAAGAACAAAAATTAGAGGAATAACAAGAGTTGGAGAAACTAAAGCTATCTCAACATTTTTGAGAGCGCTGAGGATAGCGAGAAACATGATCCATAATGTCAGAACCTGATTGTGTGTTAGGAGAAGAAGGGGAGGCACTCCATCCATAAAGTGGGAATACTGCGAACATAAGTATGCATAATATGAGGACGAGTTACAAACAAATCAGAAGAAGGAGAAGAAGATGACAAATCAGATATAGTCTTATCACCAACATAGGTAACCGGGGTCAATATAAATGAGATCTGATTTATGAAAAAGAATTAGATGGAATAGAAAAAAATGGAATATGTTCCATAAAAATAACATAACGAAAAACATCGAGTTTATGGATAATCAAATCATAACACTGATATTCCTTTTGACCCTCACCGTAACCACAAAAACACATAAATTTGAGCGATCAGAAAGCTTGGCACGATGAATGTTGAGAAGCAAGACAAAACAAGCACATCCAAACACACATAGGAAAAATTAATTAGGTGACTTATCACATAGCTTTTCAAATGAAGGAACACTAGAAGTGAGGATAGTAGGAATGCAATTAATTAGGTGAATTGCATTAAGAATTGATTCCCCCTAAAAAGTGCTGCGGACATTTGTTGAAAATAACAAAGAGCGGGCTATCTCCATAATGTGACAGTGTTTGCACTTGGCAACACCGTTATGTTCAGGTATGTCAGTACAAAAGGATCGATAAATAGTATCATTCGATGTCAACAAATCACGAAAGGAAGGAAGGGAGTACTCATCTCCATGGTCACAACAAAAGCATTTAATAACGGAGGAATACTGAGTGCGTACCATTTCACGGGAAGTAGTATATATACTGAAAAGTATTCAGATCTACGTTTCATCAAATAGACCCAACAATATAATTACGGTAGAAAACTCAAAACAAATTTTGCAGCTTTTGCAAATCCACAAAAGTCTTACTGGATGGCAACAACATCGAAAACGAAGAGTGTATCCCATGAACAATCGAGCTTGACAATGGTCTTGGTTGTGTTAGACTGATGATGCCATCATAATGTCATTATAGTAGATGATGATGTCAGCCCTAATTTTCTTTTAAATTCTTCTGATTTCAAAACTCCGCTTTGATACCATAAAAACTTTGATTCAAGAAGAGGAAAGAAGAGAGAAAGAGACATTGTATTAATTCAACATTAGTCTGCTAACTACATAACAAAGCTACACAATAAAGACCCTTATATAGTATTGCAAAATAGAATAAAGTAAATCACTAAACTACCCATAGTCTAAATATTCTTCAACACTACTAGGGTATATAGCTTGTCAAGTTTATCTGGGTGAGTTGTAAAACCTATCTAGCAATTGCTGTTGCAATGACAATCGAACTAGCAAACACAAAAATATCAGAAAGAAACGAATCTTTGCCATTGGAAATGAAATGAAGCAAGGACAATTATATCCCTACCATAAGTAGTTGATTAGTGTGTTAGCTCGGATCCCTTTGGATGGGACCTTTGATCAAGTTGCGCCCTTACATCGGCCGACTGGTTTTAAGGAAGGGTTTAGCTTTGACTTTAAGAGTGCCACTGATAGATGGCTGCTCTTGGTTCTAAATTCTCTAATGACACTGTCCAGTTACCTCTTCAACTCACGCCCAGCCTCTGTGCTCGCACCAGCAACCATGTTCGTTCCATGATGCCAATTTCTGGATGTTCAAGAATGTAACAAGAAATTAAGAACTCGAGGTTTTCTCACTTACCTAAAGCAAGAAAAGTGGAAGATGTGCCGAAGATCTGTCTATTTACTAATGAAATTATAGGTGCCTATCCCTCTCTAGCTGCATGGAAGTCAAAGACTAAGAATTCTTTGAATTCGAAGATTTTCTTTGAGATATGGAATCTTCATAACTGATGAGCTAACATATTTAAGTCCAGCATATTTCAGTTATTGTATGCACTTTTTTTTGCTCCCTTTTGGTTTTCTAGTTATCGGTGCAGTGATTGAGAAATTGCAAGATCAGGTTTGTATTGAAAGTATTTGTGTTCTATCTCCAACAAATGTATGCTTATATCATCATAGTCTATGCATGTGGGAGTTGGGTGTAATGCATGTCTGGCCTTCTCCATTAGCAATAGCAATTTGATCAGGAATTATAGTTTAGAAGGCTGTGTACACATGAGAGTGAAAAGCGCAAAGAAGATTAAAACGGGCAGGGTGTGCTTTGCAGTGTATTTGATAATGACGAGAGCTGAGAATGTTCGTGGGCTCAGAAGCATGTGTCCACACATATAATATGGATTCATACGTATACACCTGTATGCAGAAAGATCTAAAGGAGATGATGGTGATTCAACCATAGAAAGACTATAATTGGTTGTCATTTTAAATAGACAGGCAAGAGGTGGCAGCGGCAGGAATTACTGGGGGACCTAGGATTGGTTAGGGTTTGAAAACTTATTTGGAAGACCGAGTTATTGGGGTGCTCTGACGCTCTACTGTTTCCATATAGTCATCCACAAGAAATTTAAAGCAGAGAGAGAATGAAATTTAGTGGCATTTAAGTCTAGAATTTGTCAATTTTTAAACAGACACCAATCGTTGTTGGCACATTGTACCCATTTAGGTGAAACATGTGTTTTTAAAACTTTTGGATTTAAAAAAAATTCCACTGATTTTTTTTGGGTTTAAATGTTTTAAGGGGCCGATTAGTATATTTCCATTTTAGGGTCAGGTTCACGTGAAGATGGATGTTGTCCCAATTAATAAATTTGGTTGTTTTGAAAATACTTGGGTTGTCATTGGAAGTTGTTAATTTAGAAATTACATGTTTAGGTTTGGACCATACTTATCACAAGTAAATTGTAAAATATTCCATGATGAAGGTAAAGCAATATAATATTCCAATTTAGCTTGAGGTAGGAATTACCAGGAATGTTTATTTATTTTTTTTAAGTTCCTTGGGCTAGGTCTGCGACAAGAATGGATTATGATTGGGAGTTCTACCTATACCCTAATACGAAATGCCCACTCCCTTCACTTTTATCACTTCCATCTAAAATGGGTATTGACGGAGCCACGTTGGTCATCCCTCAATGTTTCAATAATATCTTATATACCCTTTAGCTTTTTAAAAATTCTGTCTATAATGTTTATATAAATACAAGATAATTGAATTAGTATTTTCAAAAAACCTAATAATGGTCTCATATTTAATAACAAACTAGGGAATATTAATCGAATGGATTTAGTACTTCTCTTACACACGAAGCCACATGTTTAGATGAGTCTTATGACCGAAAGAAAAAAAAAAGGATAGTATTATGTGAAACTAATATTTACGATGCTAATTTATTCGCAATCATTATATCTATATTGCTTATAAATGTCAGCATATGTGAAATTTGTTTTATTTTTTATTTTATCCATAATCAATAATGTTAAATCAATCATACCCCTCATATTCTTACTAATATCATCTTTTTTCCTCCCTTGTCTTGTTAGAGAGCAAATTTCATTTGAACCAAAACTCTTCTAATCATATAGCATTAGGTCTCTAACCATTCATTCTACTTATATCATGGCTTGAGGTCTCTAATTACAATTGTAAGTCTATTTCTTCCTCTTTCACTATTACTCTCGGGCTGTCAAATCTTTTCGGTCTATTGTATTCTTCCATAACTATCTATATTTTCTATATCTTTTCTTTTCTAATATTTTTTTGGTTAATGTTATTAGTTGCATTCAGATCTATAACTTTGTCCTGACGTGGGTAACAGTTGCCTGATATACATAATTGAATCATGTTAATTGGATCGCCCTGAAAAACTTTTGATATTCTATTTTATCCTTGACTAATATTATAAAGGTCATCCTGAAATCCTATTAGAACATTGAAAACAATTTTTACAATGCACGATACATTTTTTGGGATGAAACATTTTTTAATTGTTTATAATAAGTTTTATACAAATAAAATTTTGACATGAACGATAACTTGTTCACTAATTCAATTTGATATAATTTCTAACTGTGTCACTGTTTCTGTTTGGCCCCCATAAAATTCTAGCTCCGTCCTTGAAAGTATTTATTGGTTATTGATAGGATTACTTATGGTTCTTGTGTTTTGCAGGTGCGTATAGCTCGTATTTTCAATACATATGGGCCTCGTATGTGTCTAGATGATGGGCGTGTTGTCAGCAACTTTGTTGCACAGGTTTGATCTTCTGACTGATTTTCCATGTGGTTTTGACAAATGATATTGCAATGATTGAAGGGACTTTGAGAATTTCATTTGAAAGTTTTTCATTCATAAAAAGTTCTTTGTATCATCTCTATGTTTTGCAGGCTATTAGGAAGCAACCACTGACAGTGTATGGTGATGGAAAGCAAACTCGAAGTTTTCAATATGTCTCTGACTTGGTATGTCATCTTGATATGGAATTGAATCTATTGGCCGTTACTGTTTCCTGTGGAACTCTTCCAGATGCCCTAGCTGCTATGCGTTATTTCATGTTTGCTTCCTTTTACTTTTGGACTTTGTAGGGTATTATTGAATATTTTGCCAAATCAATGTGTAGTGTCTAGGGGTGATAATCGAGCCGAGCCTTCGAGCTTCTGTGTGCTCAGGCTTGGCTCGAGTTACAAAAGAGTCATTGAAGCTTGGATCGAGCTAGAACATCAAGTCCAAATTTTTGTTCAAGCTCGAGCCGAAATTGAGCCCGGAGACTCAAACTTAAATCCACATCTCACAAAACTCAAATATCAAATTTAGAAGTTCCAAATCACAAATCTCATATCGAAATTTAAAAAACTAAACAGATCTCAGATCAAAGTTCATAAATTTTACAAGTTATACACAAATCAAAGTCTGAAACAAAACCATCAAACCAAAAAGCTCTAAATAATATCAAAACTTATAAATGGAATACACAAAATTTGTATATATATAATATATATATTTGTATACACCGAACGACCTTCGATGAGTTGGCTGCTCGAGCTTCTATAGGTGAGGGAAGAGGAGTCTCTAGGGTCTAATACAAAGAGGAAGGAAAGAAAATGTAGAAATGGGGAGAGAGAGAGAGAGTGGGGGGGGGGGGGACCAA